GAAGTGTAAAAAAGTATATGAATCAAACACCTGTGTTTATCTCCTTCTCGAAATCCCACTGAAACAATAGAAGAGGGGGGGGGAAAGTTTAAGTATACAAGGAGAAAGAATGGCAGAGAGCTCACTGGGAAGAGAGATCTGAAGCAAATGGAGGAAGGATAATTGAGTTATCAAAGTGACAGAAGCTTCAAATTCCAAGTGCCAACATTTTGGAAATGAGGTGTTTCTTTTGCAGAATTGCTGAGATGCTCAGCAGTGGAGGGCATTAGTTACTGTCGAGTGTAGGAGTGAAGGACTGAAGTCTTGGTAATTATATAAGTGCTTTAAGACTTGGAGAAGTTAGACCTCTAGGGCCTCCTCTGCATGCTGTCCCTGTAGCTCATATCAGCAGAAGAGTAGAAATCTATGCTATGGAAAGTGGAGTAAGAATAGTTTTGGAGGATGGGTGCGGGTGATTGAATACAGAATTGAATGAGAAATAGATATTTTAGTGCTTTTTTTCCCCTGCCTTTTCTCATTATGTCAGCAGACAGGTAAATTCTGCCCCAGCAGTCTGTTGGTGGATTTGTTTCTTGGGAAATTGAACTTCAGAAACTGAAATTTGGTGGTTCCCTACTCATTGAAATTAGGATGACACTTCCCTCATCTTTTTTGCATTGACTGAAGTGGACCAGCTAATAAATATGGATACTGCAGTGGATTAAGTAAGCAGTGGGTTGCCAATTGCAATGTTGACAGTTCAGATCCACCTGCCACTCTACTTGGAGGGTGAAGGATGAGGCAGTCTGCTTCCATGAAGATTTTAACCTTGGTAATGTAATGGGTTAGTTCTACTCTGCTCTACAGGTCACCATGAGTTGGAACTGAGTAGATGGCGATGAGTCTGTTTTTCATTTGTTTTGTACATATAAAACCTCTGGTGACATTTTGGATTTTATTTTTAATAGGAGCCAGGCAGCAAAAAAGTCACCAATCATATTGAGTCATATTGGAAAAATAATCAACATGAAAGGCAGAGAACAAAACAAACATCTTGAAGAACGTAGATATGTTACAGAAAACAAAAAATTTAATTTTTTTTTTAAAAAGGTTAAGCTTCTCAGAGCAAAAGAAGATATTTCTAGAATAAGGATAGAGTAGGAAGACCATGGAAGTAACAAATTTGAGAGTTGAAATTTTTTAAAAAAATTGCAGCTATATCTTCCAAAAAGTAGAAGAAAAGAATGAATAATAAAATATGGAATTTGTTCTGAACGATTCCACATTGACAGTATAGAAGATTAAGGAAGCAAGAATGGAAACAATGGAATAATGTTATCATGGCAGTATTGCATGAATATTTCATAGAACTGACCTCATGAATTATCACATGGAAAAAGACTATAAAGTGCTCATGTTGTTAATTTGAAAGACTCATACCTGGGTATATTATTGTGAAAAGTCATAATAACAGGGATAAAATAAAAGTCCTAATAGCTTTAAGGGAACAATTTAACAAGTCATGCACAAGAGAAAGCATACATAACAGCATCTGATTCTAAACAACATTCTTGAAAGCTAAAAATGAATGGGGCAGTTTCCTTTAAAAAAATCAGAGGAAAATCACTACACATAATATGTCTTAACTGGTGAATGGAAAATCAATTTGCTGCGTAGACTTGCATGCAAATCATAATAAGATGCTAATATTATTTTAACCTAGATTTTATATCCAGCTAGTCTAGCAATCTAAAATTAGCACAGAAGGGAGAAATGTTCTGAAAATGTTGTTGTTATATATCTTCGAGTCTTTGGAGAAGGACATCATGCTCAGAAGGGTGGATGGACAGTGCAGAAGAAGAAGACCCAGGATAAGATGGATTGATACAGTAACTGGGGTGATGGGGATTGGTGTGTCAGAATTAGTGACAGGGAAGGGTTCAGAGCTGCTGTGCATAGGGTCGCTATGCATCACAGGTGACTCAGCCAATAGTATTCTGTAACAGCTTTCGAAGCAGGAGTGGCATTCACTTCCTAAACAACTTGCCTCCGGAAACTATGGACTTTGATAAATGTCAGTAGTTGTAGATGGGCTTCAGGCCTTTTGTTCATAGGGTTGCTATGAGTCGTGCTCTACTTGAAAGCAATCAACAACAACATCATTGAGTTGAGTATGACTTATAGAGAGGGTAAGGACAACAGATCTAAACCCTGTCCTATCCTGTGCCATCCTCATCATCTCTGACAAAACTGAGCCATTGCTGCATTCACTGTGTCAGTCCATCTTAATGAAGGTCTTCCTCTTTTTCTGTGATTTACTTATTTGGTAGGAAGCTATTGGAAGTGTGTTGGACCACTTAGTTAAGAAAGAAGAAAAGAATCTACAACCAGGAGAAGATAAAATAGATGAATGGGACCCTCTACGAATCAAATCCCTATGCACATCCAAATACTTCTCCAACAGGGTTAAAAGGGAAGCCACAGACTGGGAAAAAGTATTTGGTAATGACATGTCAGATAAGGGACTTATATCCAGAACTTGTACAATACTTGAGCACCACAACAAGATAAATTGAAAAATGGGCACAGGATGTGAGCAGACACTTCACCAAAGAAGACATTCAGATGGCCAACAAGCACATGAAGAAATGTTCAAAATCCCCAGCTCTAAGAGAGATACAAATCAAAACAACTATGAGATATCATCTCACCTCAGTCAGAATAGCAAAATTTAACAGAACAGCAAGCAACAAATGCTGGTGAGGTTGTGGAGAAACTGGAACCCTTA